GTCTTTGAATTAAATTATAGCCAAAGTTTTGGTCGGTCAGTAAAGGTTTAACAGTGATTTACGATATCGATAAGCCCATGATTCCGCATATCCAATAATGTTCTTCACTTCCCTTTAAGGCATTCTTGTCCAAAATTAGAAGCGCTCGAAAAGGGAATATATTTGTATAGTGTAGAATCGAACTGCAGTTTTCTGACGAAGGTAAAAACTTCCGTCTTTGATAAGCCTAGACTAATACATATAAATAAATTATTTTTTTTAATTTGGAAAATATAGGGTAAGAATTTAAATAGTGAATCGATTACAGGTGCGATTTAAGCTGCCAATGTTGATTATAACTAGATGAGGTCCAAACTGCTGCCCACCCTAGATGATAATACTAATTGTTCTAAGCAGGACTAAATAATTTTCAATGGCAAATAAGCCTACACTGATCATTGTAAAAAAATTAATTATTCGACTCTGATTACATTTATCGGCTTAGAGTGAATACAGCATTTATCGAAGAGCTGTGTGAAAAAACTGTGAATTATGGACATATAGCTAATGCAACAAAAGCGCCATGGCTGATAAAATAAATATAAAATTCAATAGGAGAAAATATATAAATACACCATAAAGAAAAAAGTGTTCACAAAAATGGTGACGATAATAAAAAATTATTGAAAAGACAAATGTTATAAATACACAGATAATGGCTCACCCTTTTCTATCGGCTGAGTTTCTTCTTCCGTCTCTTCTGCATCAACTAGTGCGAAGGCAGCTGCCATAAGTGCTTCTTCTTTACCAGCTTTAGCAGCAGCAGTGTCTATAACGCCATAGTTACTAAATCGCTTTAAGCGGTTTGAATTACGCGTAGACATTCCGAAACTGGCCGGAGGTGGCTCATGTGGTGGAGGAATCGCAATATTTTGAAGGATTGAAGTCGTCTCGTCCGCCTCAGCCTGAGCAGCTGCAGCCCTTAAAATGTAAATTTGTATGTCCATGTGTGAAATGGATATGCTAAATCGCAAAGTATATTATAATTGCCTAAGGTTACAGTTTAAATTCGGTATATTCTCTCAAGCCGGTAAATTAAAATGTGTGATCGGATTCTCTCATTTATGTAATAGTATATTTATGGGAAACTTTTAACAAAAAAGTCTCATGTTGAAATTTAGATATGTAAAGACTATCAATAAGATTAAAAAATCATAAAAGAATATTCGGGAACTTGACATACGTCCTAAAAATTAACTTATGCAAAACTTCAAATACTTTTTGGCTAGCGACATAGCAAGGGGTGGCCTGCCACGCTTTCCAGGAGCCCAAGGCTGCGGCGCAGGTTTAGGTTGAGGTGGTGAGGCCAGTTCAGCTTCTTCGAGAGCATCCAGTAAATAGTCGCGAGACGCTGATCTAGTATAGCTGCTTATGTATGGTCCGGTGCCTGAAGACCTTGGTCGGATTGGAGCAATAGCTGTGGAGCCTTGGTCGATAGAAGAATATGTTGAGGCACCACTTCCGCCGCTTCCAGCAGAATAATGCAGAGGTGGTCGACCCCTTGGACGTCCAAGTCCGATAGCAGCATTCAGCAAGCCAGGTCGCCGAGTGCCGAGCATCGCACCACCAATAGGCGCATGCGAAGCCGTTGATTGATTCGACAAGTATCCGGAGCGTTGGTAAATAACATGCTCAGAGTGGCCATTGTTGGAATTATAGTCAATGTCGTCGGCCAATGAATCATCGTCTATTAGAAGGTCATAAACGAAAATAAACATTATTGAGGAAACGCAAAGGAGAATTTCTCCAAAAAGTAATATAGGCAGATTCGATCAACTAAGAAGTTCAATAGAAAAGAAAAAGGAAGCTATTATAGTGTGGGTAAGACAATTAGCTAAAGATGGGCTTTTATTGAGCTGTAAATTAATAATCATAGATTGAAAGGTTGTCCTCATCGCAATTTAAAGATAAAATTAGATTTTGAAAATCTATTTTAGCCTATTAGTCATGGTTATACTGTTATTTCGTGCCTTATATAGCCTGGATCTAGGGCCTGAGCTTTAGAAATGGAATTGAACAACAAACATAAGATGTCTCCAGCTATTAAAGCAGTGTTGCGAAAATTTCTGAATCAAATTTTGCAATAAGTCCAATAATATATAGCCTCATAAATCTGACTTTTATGCAAGCGTAAGTAAAAAAAGGCGAATTCTATAACAGGCAATCAAATAGCCTAAAATAAGCGCTAAAGCATAGGAGTAAGATTGCCGTCAAAGTCCAATCCCAAATTTATTTTTCTTAGGTCGACTTTGTAAATGATCATGCAGACAATGGACTCCGGACTAAATGCGTTCCTCTAAATCTTCCTACCAATATGACCATGTTGCGAAAACAAGGTCAAACAACTTATATAACACAAAAGGAGACTGCGACCACACAAAAGGCCACACCCTCCTGGTCTTCATACCTTCGATTAAAATATGTAAGTAAGATAGCCAAACAATGCACTGATTACAGCCGGACAAAGAAGAAAATTGTAAGTCAATTCTGCCATTTGGCCTTTTTGAATTGTTGCAAACATTATGCTATCGCTCCCCGATTCTGCAATCTAATGAGGAAGTGTCATTCGGACACAGTGAATGAAATTCTCTATCGTGCTTCCATGCAGAAATTAGAGGAAAGTTACGAGATCGAGAGGCGTAAGTTATATAAGTTCATAGATTTTAAGTCTAGATTAAGGAAGGATCTAGGCAGTGTTCTCACTTTGAATGATTTTCAAAAAATCCAGAGCATGATCGACCAGTCACAAAGGATCCGGGATCTGATCAATGAGCGGCATGACAAGAAATTGCTTAGATATGGGATAACAAGACAGCGCATCAACTGCTACACACGACTATATGATTAAGGTAGTAAAACAATCTTCAATCCATCTTGATTCTGAAACTACGGATCTCTTAGAGAAGAGGTTACATTTTTCACCAGGTAATGAAGGAAATGTTCTTAGTGATATCCTGATAGAATTTGTCAACATAACGGATAAATATCCAGAAGATACAAGGCGGGAGATGGAACTGAAAATAATCCCACGGATCCGGACACATCAAGAACCGATAAAATGGAGCAGATTTGCTGGTATTCAAAAAAAATTACAAAGGTATGATCAAATAGTTCTTCAGGCTGATAAGGGAGGAGTGACTGTTGTAATGGGCAAG